TAAGATTGAAACAAAGACTAGCTAAGGTGTACAGCATTATAGACAGACTACAAGATAAATCAAATAACTACATACATTATAAAAATAATAAGACAGTTTCAACTTACTGTTTAGCAGGATAGCCAGCTGTTGAAGTTGTTGCCACTGCACCACACTTTTGGAGATGACTGACTCGGACTGAAGTGGCCTGGTCACTGGTGTCTGTGAGTAGTCTGGACAGCTTGAATCTTGATCTCCAACTAATCAAGTTGTTCCAGGTTACTATTTGCCTGGCGGCTGGCGGCTCTGGCCAGTCTCAGTGGGATTATGTTATGCGAGGTCAAACTTCAGAGGTCAGGTAACCTTGCCTCATCCCGACAAAGACAGGGAAGGGGCGGCTCAGCCGCCCTGGCAGTAAGTGGCAGTAAGGGAGGGGAGGGGATGGTGGGGTTGGGAGAAGGGTTCCTCAGATGTCAGCCTTCAGGTCACTGCTCGACAGTTCTCCTGGCCGCTAAAGGACAGGACCCGGGTTAGTTCCTCCGGGGGGTTAACGAATATTAAAAAAGAAAACACAGTCGGCTACCGTCTACCTGCCCTCGCCTCCCTCCGACCCCCCCACCCATCTAACATCCTGCTCCGACCCTCCACGGCTCCACCACAGTTTTCCCTTCATTTTTAATCTTATCCAAGTTTGCCCTGAATTTGTGGCGCCCCCAGATGTTGGCGCCCTAGGCGATCGACTAGTTCGCCTAGTGGGTAGCGCCGGCCCTGCTCCTTACCTTTGGTACGACCCAGGTGCATCCTCTTACACTTCGTGACATTGAATCTCAGCAGCCATTCCTTCGACCATTCTTGGAGCCAACAGAGGTCCTTCTGCAGCTCTTCACAGTCAGCTTGGTTCTTGATTTCCCGAAATAACTTGGTGTCATCGGCAAACATTTGTATGGAGGAGTGTACTGTACAACGTCAGGCATGTCATTTATGAAACAAACAAACAACAGCCGGCCCAGTACACTACCCTGTGGTACCCCACTTGTGACAGGTACGGATGACGGTTTCGTGCCATTAATCACCACACACTGCTTGCGGTCATGTAGAAAGTCTTCTATCCACGCTAGGACATTTCCCCGAATTCCGTACCCTTCCAGTTTGATTTTCAGCCTTTCATGGTGTACTCTGTCGAAAGCCTTGGCAAAATCTAGGTAAATATTGTCGATATTACCACCCCGATCCAGAATATGGGTCCAAATATCCAATACCTTGAGCAATTGTGTTAAGCAGGAGCGCCCTGACATAAAACCTTGTTGGCAACCCTTTACAAGGTTGTTTCGTATTAGATGTTCCATTGCAGAATCTCTGATAATAATGTCAAGTATTTTACATATTATGCTGCTTAGGCTCACCGGTCTATAGTTGTTCGTGGAGGGACGATCGCCCTTCTTGAAGATAGGACTCACATAAGCCACTTTCCATTCACTGGGGACCATTTGTTCATCCAGGCATTTACAAAACAGGATCTTCAGGGGCTCTGCAAGCTCGTTGCACAACTCTCTTAGCACTCTTAAGATGCACCATGTCAGGGCCGGGACTCTTTTGGACCTTTAGCCTGGACAGTTTATTTCTAATACCCTCTTCTGTGAACACAATGTGCCATAGCAGAAGTGCCATTGTTGTCGATTGAAGCTCTAAAATTTCCTTTTTTCAATACACTACAGTGTGAGGATCTGTAAATGCATGCAACACGGAGTTAATCTCTTTGCTTTTGTTAAACTTTACTGTTTTTACACCAATTTAATTCGGCTAACAAGCCGATCAGTGGTGAAGAGGATAAAAGTAAAAAGTAAAAGTAAAACATCGTCCCTGTGACATTACATTCCATTTGGATGATCGTCTGTTTTATGCAATTTTTACCATCTCAGTTAAATGATCAGAGTAGGTTAGTTTAGTTTAGGTTATGTTACATTAAATTGCATAAAATAGATGATTGTCCAAGTGGGATGTAATATGCAGTACTGTACCTTATGACTGGCTTCAGTCCTTTCTAGTGTAAATAACAACTCCCCACCCCCGCAGAGAGGTTTGTGAGTCACAGCCATCAATATTTTGTTACACCAACTTAATCAGGTTGATGGATTTTAAGTAGTTTTCATCTCTGCTGTCTTGTCAAGGAAGGTGTCACTGTTTGTGTACATAGTTGTGGGGATGTTCACAAAGAATTAGATGACTTGTGACAGCGCTCATAAACTGATGCAAACTGTTTGAGTTCCTGTTATGTCCTGAGGTGGATGGTGAAGACTATATTACTGTACTGTATATTTATTGTTGCTTTTGTTTCATTTTGTTTCAAATGAATAAATAAAAGCAGAAGGTTTTAATGTATATTTCTTTTAATTTACAACAAATTTGTCACCTGTGAACATATGTATGAATGCAAGAAGGATTTGTGAATAAACATTAAAAATACCTTCACATTTTATTGAGATGGTGTACCAAAGAAATCAATGGGTATGTGAAGCCTATCTTTATGGTCAAGGAGGGACTGAGACATGACCTGTAAGTCTGTCTTTCTCAATAACTGATCCCTGTATACCACCTACTGTATTGTACACTAGTTAAGATAGCTGGACAGTTGTTACCTATCAAGAGTGAAAGAAAAACATGTCACATCTGACATTCCACACCATCCACAAAATACTGCATATGCAATTGTTACGGTAGACAAAATTAAGTTTAAAAATTTCTAAGGCAACCTGTTATCCAAACTATTTCCAACTAGTTTTAGTGGGCTTAGGAGAGACATGTTTCACTTGTGTAGCTTCCCACTGGTTCTAATGAAGTTAAGTTGCTCAGGTAGTAGTCAATACAATAATTGTCAATACACTATTATTGCAGACATATATTTTGAAGAAGACATTTACAATGATCAAGGAATGGTTCATTTATTAGAGTAAAAATATGATGAGATAATGTTTTCTGTGATTTGACTGTTATCAATAATTTACATATACGTACATGTATTTATTAACTTATTTCCTGTACAGTATAATACTCAATATCTAAGATTAATATATGTAACACAAAATTAATGTAAGTTCACTGTATCTAACAACACATGAAATAACTTACAAACATAAACACACACACACACACACACACACATATATATATATATATATATATATATATATATATATATATATATATATATATATATATATATATATATATATATATATATATATATATATATATATATATATGCAAGTAAATCACTGTAGGTGCAGGTATGTTGCGGAAATTGGCTTCTACCACACTAATCTTTAAAAAGCACCGCAGCAATGGTCGGTAGTCAGGTCAGTGGGTAAGGTGACCCAACCTTCTCACCTGGTGCTTTTTAAAGATTAGTAGGGTCATTACCTAATACCTGACCATTGTGGACCTGATCTCACCCTCCTCTGTATATAAACACCTTGTTTTGTACTTCTCCTTAGTCTGTACTCACCCCTGAAGATGTGAATTACACGAAAGCGCTTGGGAACTTCGTGTTTTCTTCTTTCCTTGTGGCATATATATATATATATATATATATATATATATATATATATATATATATATATATATATATATATATATATATATATATATATATATATATATATATATATATATAATATCTTTGACTTTATTTCTTTACATAAACTCATTTGAACATTTCAACAAAAGAGTAAGAAATATACCTACTACAAAAAGCCATTTCAAACAGTTAAAAAGGTGTAATAAACCTTAAAATTTCATAGTTCTCAACTTGTTGACAGAAATTAGGTCACATTGCAATATTTGATTCAATGTAATTAATTTTACTACTGTACTGTACTATCTTACATTGCACCTAACAAAACTGTAATTTTGATTATCATTTTTCTAAACCAAATTAATCACCAGCAAGGCTAAAATATTATCACCACAGTGTTCACCTTATCATGGGCAATATTCCTCACATATTGTAGTCTCGTTTAAGATTCTTCGAACTCTACTGGAGACAGCTGGCAACTCAAGGCCATTTGTTTACTATAGTACGTAGTATAATATAATATGAAACAACAAAGACCAACCAGTAAATTAAGCAATGGGGAACTAAGTAACCAGTCACCAATCACTTTTACATTTATTCTTATTTTTTGCGACGTACTATAGTAAACAAAAAGCCTTGAGTTGCCAGCTGTCTCCAACAGTGTTTGAAGAATCTTGAACGAGACTGTACATAAATACTTCTTTAACACAACATGAAGGCCAAAGTATTCTCCATAAACTAAATTAGGATTGGACCTCAGTGTAAGCTAAAATTTAACCCTGACTGTTTTATATTAACTAGAGGCTGGTGCAATATACAGTACAGTACCATAATGTCAAGCTATACTGTATCACTTTATTCACCACTGGTCAGGGATGTTCATTTTAATGTTATAATTACTGTAAGATGAATTTAATGAAATGTAAAGTAATAATCAGGCCCTCAACAACCCTTCTAAGTGTAGATAAATTAAAGTATAACAATAATCATATAAATTTTTTGGGGGGGAGGAGGAGAAATCCGTGCAAACCGTGTGTACTCTGAAAACTCAATCACCCTTACAATCTTAATTAAATTGGACAGCCGCTATGGTTGTGTTCAACTATGCTAATACGTATACACCATTAGTGACATACAATACTGTATTGACTGTGTCCATGCTACAGTACAAGTATTACAGCATTTTATGTACTGTATTTTTCTTATGCTAACTTATGTCATGATCCCAGTGATAGCCATTACTGTATCATTATCGGCAAAATGATAACTTTCTATCATTAACTTTTTTCAATTACTGTAGTTTTAATAAATTAAGAAATTTGAAGATTTCACTACAATATTGTACTTAATTTACTTTTACTTTTATCCTCTTCACCTCTTATTGGCTCCTGGTGACAGTTTAGAAAGTCTTTATAATATTAAGTTTTGATGCACAGTATAATGCAGCACATACATTTACAGATTTAATGAGATACAATCGATACACACTATTGAAAATACTTTATAGAATATATTGTCTTAACCGAGATTCACTTTGAAAAAAGAACAGTGAACATAGATTACAGTAGTGTCTGTTTCATCTACTGTATCCAAACAATCTAATACAGATACAGTACAGTATTATCCATACAAAATGTTCCTAATATTAATTCTATATGTCTGGTACATACTCTATATAATTTATACAAATATGAAAATAAATCAATGTAAACTCATAAAATATAAATTTACATGACTTTTTTATGAAAACCAATGTATGAATATACAAAATGCCTTACACGGTATTCTTGTAAATGTCACATACCAATCAAGTGTATACAGTATATGTTGTCAGAATATATAAGGCATACATACACTACTACAATGACATACTTTCTAAGAAGCAATCATCATACACATACAATACACAGCATAGGCATGTGTAGCCATAACATAAGCACTTAGAAATTTTAATGAATGCTATGAATATTTGAATAATTTCTTTATACTAAGTTAAATCATCATTACTATTATAAAAAAATATATAATATATAATATATATGAATCTTACATCTTATTTCTTCATATCTATTGTGTAAATACCGTATGTTTATTATTTGTGACTGTGTGTGTGTGTGTGTGTGTGTGTGTGTGTGTGTGTGTGTGCATAATCTGGTCCTTCTAGTACAGTACAATATTTCACAATTTACTAAATAAAATATTTAACATGGAGAAAATTTGATCATTAGGCAGCCACTGTACAAAACAGTTCTGTATCATATACAGTACTGTACATACGGTAGTGTCATTTATACCTACAATTCCATCTTCTTCATATTTTGAGTGATTTAAAGCAACATTTAGAGACAGAAAACATCAAGTTTGCTTAATATTACAAATGGAAGTACTGTACCAAAGTTTTGACAAGAAAAGAACAAACAGTTGGCTAATTATTCATAATAAGAGAAGAACAGTAATTTCATCTCCATGCTGACACTCAGCTAAATAATGAAATAAACCATACTACAGTACAGTACAGTATATTAGCCATCACACTTACGGTAGCAGGTATTATTATATTATCTTAACACAACAGGAAAATGTTTATACAAACAAATCCTGTACAGTATACATATAGAGTTTTACCAAAGTATGGTACTGTACCATATATGGACATTAATTAAGGAACTAATAAAAACAATAACAAAGTGAGTATTAAAAATATGAAAGTAGGCAGCACCAATAATGTGAAAGAAATAGAGGTAAGTAATACTGTACAGTACAGTATAACTTTTTGAAAAGAAATTCTATGAGATTAGATATTTGTCCATCATAACCAGTGCTTATACTGTACAGTTCTGTAATAAGCATTTACTCAACAAGTGAACCCGCTGCTTAGATCACCACCATACAGTACAGTACAGTACAGTATATCCCAGTATCAAATATTCTGAACAAAACTTAACTTAAAGTATAATACTTCAAGACAACCATTCATCATGCTAAGTATTATCTAAACACTGTTGCTAAACATTTTATTTATCCTATAATTTCATTCAGTAAAATTTTCAAAAATAAGTCACATAGAACACTTAATTAGGAAGTTAAGTTAATGTTGTTCCAGTAAAATAATTTGAAGGATTTTTACAACAGCAGTCAACAAGATGATCTCACCTAACCTATTCCCTACAGCCACTCACTTATACAGTAGATGCCTTTTACAGTACGTATTATTTTTTAATTATTGATGCCTTGAAGATAAATATTAAATTAAACAAAACAATGTACTGTATCTAGCTTTATCTAACCCTTTCACGAGTCTGTGCTATACTGTACTTCATGATGGCCAAACTTGCAATTTTTAGAAAATTACAGAAAAGTATACCTGTATAAAATTGTAAAATACCTTTACAGTATGAGAAAAACTATAGAACAAACAAAGCACTACAAAGTTTGTGGAGTGGGAATAAGTCCCTGGGGTGTCATGACACCAGGCAAACGCTGGTTAACACAGCGAGTGTTCCCTATTTTCTAATGTTCATCACTCTAGGCGTTATCATCTAAATAATTGATATCATCTGCTGATTTATTCTTGGCCAATAACTACCAGTGAGCCAACAAGTGACCCTGGGAGCCTTGATGACGTGAATGGTTCTCAGCTATGAGTGATGGACTAATTTTTGCTGGGATATAATTGTTTCCGAAGACCTAATACATCTATAGTACAGTATATCAAACAAAACATTTAATTCAACTTATGAATTAAGGTTTAGAATAAGATTTAAATTTTTTTCGTGAAAAGGTTAAAAGCTTAAATCATCGCAAACAGATACGTTTTCTTTTTATAAAGGCCCTTAGCATCTAACTATGTATAATGGTGTTTACTTTAAGGCCTTAGGCATCAAACTTGTTTACTAAGTTTTTACGGTTGTAGAGGACGTGTTTTGCTATGGAATTTCATTTACACAACAAGGCCTCTGATGTACTGTATGTCTGTTACTTCACTTCACACAAAGTCAGCATCATCCATCAACAGAATGTCCATCTTTAAACCCCTGATGCTATGCTTTCCACTAATTCATGTACACTGTTGTTTCTTCATCACTTGTAATGCTTCATTCACATCAAGTTTTCCAACTCCTTGACCCAACCCCTCTCCATCTTACCATCCACCTCTGAATTATATATTCTTTATATTAATTTACTTTCCATCCTCTCAACTATACCACCTACACAGACCTTTTTCAGTGTTTCTTATATGTCCCTTCCTCTTGCATCTTTTTGAAGTACTGTACAATGATTAAATTTAATTTCAATCTTTACATAATCAGTTTAAGTAGCACAACAGGCAAGGTGTACCCAGCAGCAGTATGTACAGTATTCCTGCTTATAGTTTATTTGTTGGCAGAAAACAAAATTCTTTGTACACAGAAGAATTATTTTCATCCAAGCAAAATACTGTACTGTACATATATTATAAAATACCTAGTGCTTTTATTCTTGGCTTATTTCAAGAGTTGTAAAAATACAAGAATTTCAAAACATTCTTATTATTATGCCCAATGCATTGTATTGCTCCATAGTTTATATTTTTTTAACAATGACAACAGTTTTGTCAACCTGATCAGTTTACAAATCATTCTACAGTATTTCACATTTCCATATTTACTGTAACTGACTATAACATTGATAAATATTCATATCTTTATGATGCATCAGAATTAACAATCCAGTTAATAAAAAATTACATTGTTTCATTTAGTTCATTAGACTTTCAGCACTCTTAAGGGAAATCTTGAAGGAGACTTCTTAGTATGTTTGGATGAAATCAGGAGTTCTTATTCATTGCAGTCATTTATACTTGTCACAGTACTGTACTTTCACAATTTAGGCAACATCATTCAGTTTCTGCTGCTCCCCATCTTGAGCACTGGGCTTCTTCTTTGCCCATTCTTGCTGCTCACCTGATCCAAAGATGCAGTAGAATATAGCTTCAAAAAGGAAGATGCCCAGAGTGATGTAGAAGATGGTGCGCCAAGCTTCAACAGTTTGCTGAAAATCAAGAGACAGTAATTATTAATAAATAAGCATAGTTTTTTATATACTATACATACAGTATTTGATATTAATATTTTCATTATTTTATAATTCATAGATAAAAGCTATTTATACACATGTATGAAAATTTAGATGAACAGTTACCCGTAATGAACACTTCACATCAAGGTAGATTTCCCTTTACAAGATGATCTATTATAAGAAGATTGTACAGATCATATGTGCATGCAATGGAAAACTTTGCTAATAATTTTTGTACAGTACTTACATTGCCATGAGTCATGTAGCCAACAAAGGATGGGACAATGATGCCAGGCAAAGTAGCAAATGTGTTGCTTATCCCCATGAGTGTTCCAGCAAAAGGTGGAGCAATGTCAATGTGGTTGGAAAGGAAACCTGAGTACATCCCTCCAACAAACATGGTTCCCAAGGTGAGTAGTGCCACTGCCAGGTCTGTGTTACATCCCACGAACGTCACACAAATCAGGCAAATTGCAGGTGGGATTGAGGCTGTGGAAGAATAAAAAATTAACTACCATCATTTAAGACTGTTGCCATATGGAACAATTCTCCTATGATATAATCTTTGGATTCTAAGCCTTGCAAAATTTTCCATAACAACAAACAACACTTCACACAAGAGCAAAGCACCAACAGTCTGACCTTTATCTTGCAGACATAAAAAATTTCTTAATCAATTACAGAAAAAATAAATAAAAATATATTGAATGTGTAGAGAGACATGTTTGAAAACTTTTTGCAATAGTATATTGAACAAGTTCACATAGAGCAGGTGTCATAACCAATGGCATATGGAAAATTATAATAAATTCTATAATTGAATGATCATTTTCCATAATTGCTTGGACTTAAGATATCAGCACTGTCAAGAGCATGCACTAATTTGTGACACCACTTATACACTCATTTTCACAGATAACCATTGAGTTGAAGAAATAAACTGAGGGAAACCTAAACCACTGTGACATAGCGGTGTTGTGGATTCAACATGATATACACATTTTAATACGTATATACTGTACTGTATACAGTATACCTATAATCTCCACTACAGGATGCACTGATTTTTATAAATTACTGTAATATTATGCTTGTGAAGAGTCAGAAGACATATGTATCAGTGATGTACAGAAGTTGTGACCAACCCCGAGACCACACAATTTTAGCTTTTATGGGTCACCTGAAGATAAGCTCCCCAGGTAGTTTTGTGGTGCTTACACTGCAGGCTGGTTAAGCTGGAGGACAACTCTTCATGGGAGGGGGGGGGCTAATCTTTGCGTGAGCCATAAAGGCCTTCATAGGGTAAGGACGTGTGTAGTCGGGGCTGCCCGCTAACGCGGCCGTGGTCTCTTGACCATGGAGACAGCTGCCAGCCCGGTCTGTCGGGCCCTCCCCTGCCCCATCTCCTCCTTCCCATCTGGATTTATCAACATCCTCACACCAACAGTACAGTGCAAAGATTGACGATCAACCCACAAGTGATATACAAAAGTGGCAATTTTAACTCGAAGGAAAAACACAAAAACACAGCAATATTGAGTGTGGCTGGATCTGACCTAACCTGACCTGACCTCACGGCTTCACCTGACCTAACCTGAAGTATGGAGCACACCTGCATTGCCCCAAGCTACTGTCCTGGCCATGTGGCCACACACCTGCCCAACCGCATCCAGTCCATACGACCACGAACTGATTGCTACAAGAACAGTCCAGTCCCAACCATTGTAAAAATTATCAACACCTAATTATTATATATCATATTTGTATCACTTATGTTACCTGTGTATTATTTGTCAATCAAGAGACCCATTCCCCAATTTTGTAATTGTATATTTTCAGCCTTCCGGCTGCCATGCTCTTTCAATAAACCGTTAATTATTATTATTATTATGGTCTCGACTACATTACTGGTATATACACTAGTGTATCCATAGTAACCCACATGTATGTATGTACACCAGTGTGATCATAGTGACCCATGTGTGTGAGTGTGTGTACATCTTTATTACATGTGGGTATATACAAGTACTGTATATCAGTGTAGTTGTAGTATAAGTGTTCTGTATATACAGTACGCCCAGATAATTCGCAGATTTTTATTTCGCGGTCCTCTATTATTCGTGGAAGACACCCTGGATGTACCCAAGAATGTCTGAGGGTAGTTATAAAGTTGCTAGCATTTTCACGGCTGGGACAGGGAACCATTCATTCTAGACACAGTAATTTCCTTTACCTGCATTGTATATATGTATGTGTGTGTGTAGACACACACATACAAATAAATAATAATGGGAAAATACTCTCACAAATAATCAGAAAAAAAATTATTAAAAATGTTGAGTCTACCTTCAAGTCTGTTCCGTGCTTTGTTATTAATAAATTTTATGAGAGTAAATTTATATCTTTATTTTAATTAAAATATTTTTCAAATCATATTTACTTTTTTATTTCATATAGTTTTGAGGAAAGCACCACTATTGTAAGCCAAGGTGCAATATACAGAACCTGTAATATTTAGTCCCTGATCCTCTTACAGTATGACTGCTACTGTCATACACTTCCATCATCAAACCCTTCAACACATTCCTTACCAATGAAAGTGGACAGCTTCCTGGCAAATGTAGTAGTAATCATATTGCGAAGTCGTAAGGCATCAAGAACGTTGGCTAAGATCATGGTGAAGATCCACATGCACAGGAAGGGAACTGCAGATAGTCCAGCATTCTGAAAACAAGAAATATTTGGATACCTTCATAGTTCCAACCTGTGTACTGTAGTTATGAATTCTTAAAAAATTATGATTTTAAAATATTTTGTCAAAATACTGTACAGTACTTTGTCTACTTCAATAAATAGCCTGAATGTTAGCACACCAAAATCTATATTTGTGTCACAGTTCTGGAAATAAGCATAAGATGCCTTACTGTTTACCACTGTTTGTATACCCTATGCTGTCTAGGACTCAAGGTACATTGGTACATTGTTTGTGTACCTGTAAAGTCGATGCACATTGTACACCTGCATTGTCTTTATACATGTTGAATCGATGTAAACCTTTAAGATGATTTTACTGAATATTTATCTATTTATGTGAATGATTTCACTGGCCCGATTCGGTGATAAACAAGAACAGACACTACCCTGAATATCATAGCCAGTACAGTGAACTAACTGATTGATAAATATATACTCAAGACCAAACCCAATGGTTCCAGGAGAACATACAGGTGGGTTGCAACAAAAGATGAGCAGGAAAGGAGGATGTATGCCAGATCCAGGAACCAAACAGACTGCAAAAGGGCTGAAAAAAAGAGTTCCAGGGGGGATTGCAAGTGAAGTAAAGTCAAACCCAAAGACTTTATACTGTTATGCAAAATCAAAATTAAAGACAAATTTGGGCGTATCAGATCCGAGACTTGAAGATGGTAGTTACACAGACTCAGATCAGGAAAGGTCAGAGACATTAAACAAATTCTTTAATTCAGTGTTCACAAGAGAGGATACGAACAATCTTCCTGCTTTTGAGGAAAGGCGGTTTGATACAGCACTGATGCATATAATGTTCTAAGAAGAGGGTATAAGAAACAAATTGTCAAAGCTAAAGGTTTATAAGAGTCCCGGCCCTGACAGTATGCACCCCAGAGTGCTATGAGAGTTGTGCAACGAGCTTGCTGAGCCCTTGAAGATCCTGTTTGGTAGATGCCTGGATGAACAAAAGTTTCCCAGTGACTGAAAAATGGTTTATGTGAGTCCAATATTCAAGAAGGGTGATCATCCCTCCATGAATAATTATAGACCAGTGAGCCTGACCACCATAGTGTGTAAAGTACTATAGAGCATTATATAAGAAATGCCATGATGGAACATTTACTACGAAACAACCCTGTAACAGAGTGCCAATGTGGATTTATGACGGGATGCTCTTGCTTGACGCAATTACTTAAGGTGCTGGCTATCTGAACTCTCACCCTGGAATGTGGTGACAATAATGACAATAAATTCAGCATCTGGACTTTGCCAAGGGTTTTGACAGCGTGCCCCATGAATGGCTGAAAATTAAGCTGGAAGGGTACAGAATTTGGGTGAGCAAACTAGCGTGGATGAGAGACTTTCTTCATGACTGCAAACAGTGTGTGGTAATCATGGTACGAAATCGTCATGCATACAAGGCAGTGTACTGGGCCAGATGTTGTTTGTTTGTTTGTTCTATAAATGAGATATACCATAAACTATAAACTCCTCCATACAAATGTCTGCAGACAATGCCAAGTTAATCAGGGAAATTAAGAACCAAACGGACTGTGATGAGCTACAGAAAGATCTGTCAGCTTCAGGAGTGGTCGAAGGAATAGCTGTTGAGATTCAATGTCACAAAGTGTAAGAGAATGCACCTAGGTCATACCAACATTTCCCAACAGGACGGAGAAACAACATTAACAGAAACTGAATGTGAATCAAGCAATATAAGCTAGGAGGTGTTGTAAGAAGGTCGTTTAGATATTAAATGGTCCGTCTTTTGTAATGCTCTTCAAGAGTGAGGAGCTTCCCCATTTGGAGTACTGTCACCCCATCTGGTCCCTGAGATATGCTAGAGACTATCAGTTGATTGAAAATGTCCAAAGAGGGCCACCAGACTGGTGCCTGCACTATGGAACTTCAGTTACCAAGAGAGATTAGAATATCTGCAGTTGCCTATCAGACGACCAACACTGGTACAGGTACAGATACATTCTGGAACTAATACATGCCAACAGTGTGTAACAGAGATGTGACCAACCACTCAAGTGGTTAACGAGCCGATAGTGGCGAAAAGGATAAAAGTAAAAGTAATTATGTAAGACTGGGTCTGAGAGGCATGGAACTGCATCTTAAACCTTGCTGTCTCTCTCTCTCAGTTATTTAATAAACAAGCATTTAGAAACATGTCATTTTCACACTGAATTCTGAAGGATGTGAATTGTAAAGCAAAACAAAATCAGACTGAAATATGCATATTGTATAAAATAAATCTTATTGAATTACGTGTATCAAATAAATCTATTACTGTACAGTATAAGCGTATTGAAGAAAAAAGGGCAAATACCCGGTATATGTATTCCTTACACCTTTCATGACCACCATGACATTTTCACAATTTGAAATACAGTATTACTACAAATATGAATATCTTGGCCAAGAGTTTTGGCTGTGATCACATATTAGTTATACTGTACTTAAGTCAGTGATACAAGTGTAAAGACTGGAGGCAGTTGCTGAGATGCAGTCAGATTTTATAATAAAATGCTGGATATCTACCAGAAAATAGCAAAGAAATATGTAAACAGAAATACAAATACTGTACAGTACTGTAAAAAACAAAAACATACACACACAGTCTTTTAACTTACAGCCTCAATGTCAAATTTAAGGATGTAGCGCATGTAGGTCGGGAGCTTGACAAGTAACATGTACCAGCCCCAGTTATTGCAGGTGTGAGCAACGATGATGGCCCACACCGGCATTGATGTCCACACACTCTTCCATGGTACTGATGGTTTCTGGTGAAGGTGAAAGGTAGCAATTAGACATTTTATTCAGTACAGCGTATAATACAAGGGAAAAATCTTTTGAAATTATAAAAAGGTTGTTGATACACAGGTAAAGTAGATGAACAAAATGAATCCTATACACCTGAATTATTATAACATGGTTTATAACTCAGCTTGTGCCGTATATCAAACCTCACACATAATCACGGATTTGTCACCACATTTCTGACCAATTCACCACTCTTTACCACTCCAGGCACTCATTATCTTGATAAAACTAACCCAGCAAATCATAACATAGCCACATTAACTTAACAATACATAAAATCTTAAAAGGTGGCCAACTCATCTGATGGCCAATATTGTAACTATAGAGCCAATTAGTGAGATCTTGTTGTCCTTTTGGTCACCTCAGGCGAGTGGATGTATGGGAGCACGCACGCACGCACACACACACACACACACAGAATCATACAAATCTCTGAAGCTATGAAAAAACCCCTTAACCCTTCATGCCATACCTCTGATTTTACGACAGTGCCAAGGGATTCCTCGATAAACTTGCGCTCTGATTTGGTGATTCTTGGGTGTTGAGCTGGAGAGTCGTACACCAAAAACAACCAGAGAATATACCTGCAAACACACCATTTTTACTCGCATAACATTGTACAAATTAAAAAATAAATAAATAATCCTATTCATTTAATATATCAAATGACAATAATTTAGGATTATAGGGGCAGTAACTTACTTGGATCCCAAGATTTAATAAAGGCTGTCCTAATTATGCATAAATTATTAGGAGTTAGACCAGTTTCAGACAATCAGTGACTTCAGAGAGAAAGCAATATATGTAATGAACTACAAAAGCTGAAATGCTTCATGAAATGTGAAATTCTTTCAACATGCATGAGACTCCTCTATCCATCTACATTGAATAGTGTAACAGTAATAATGTTGACTTTCTTAGTCAACTGTACTGACAGACATTGAACACTGTCATACAAAAAATTTTACCATTAGAGGGTCTTTAGTGGGCATCAATTCCTTTATCCCAACCTTGATCTCTGTATTGTGGACCACAATAGAGCAAGGATCATCAGAAAACTAGGAAGACCAAGGGGTAAAGACAAGATAGAAACCCTGCAGAGTCCACCCCAGTCTGCATGATTGTAGTGTCAGTTGTTCAGTTTCACAATTTTTTCGGGGGCATGGGCTTTGAAAAATGAGAATTGGTCACAATGATGAGGGAATGGTTAGAAGAGCCCAGGGGAAACTAAGAATTAGTAAGAGAAACCTAACAGATGTCCACTGTGTCAAACATGATCAGGGATTAGTAAGGAAAGGTTGACCAGTTGTGTTAGATTAACTGAGGCTACAGTGCTCCCCATTTATACCTAGTTGGATGGTTATAAGCGGAGTGCATTTCCTGCTCAGTGTTGTGGATGTTGAAATCACCCAGCATTAATGAGTTCAGCTGTGGATCACACTAAATGTCATGTATTCTGTCAGTAAGAATTTCAAATAAACTGAGCATTAGAGGAGTGTTAGGAGGGTGATAGATACTGTACTGCATTTAGAGAGGAGAGTTTGTAGATGTCACAGTGAGTAGAGGAAAACTTAGAGAATAAATTAGAGCATCTCAGATTTTGCATTGTGTTAAAAACCAATCTGACTTTCAAGATCTAAAAAGAGATTGTAATCAGGAATATTGAACCAAGATGAATGGGAAGGGGAAGAGGAGAATTTGAGTTTCTGTGGAAGTGAGTTATACTAGCCTGATTGTTTGTTAGGGAAAGTGTGGATACAACAGACTGTATGCAAGTAAATCACTGTGGGTGTGCGTGATCCAGGTATATGCTGATAACCACAAGGAAAGAAGAAAACACAAAGTTCCCAAGCGCTTTCGCGTAATTCACATCTTCAGGGGTGAGTACAGTCTGTACTCACCCCTGAAGATGTGAATTACACGAAAGTGCTTGGGAACAGACTGTATATTAAGCCTTCAGTATGCATGGGAGGAGTGTGCTAAGTACTGGACTCAACCACCTTCCCTTTCCCAACTGTAAAGTTAGGTAACCATTTACAACTGGGTTGACTGAGAATGCTCTGGGATCAAACCGCTGCTCCTCTTAAATTTTTTTATGGAACGGTAAATCAGATTTAGCTGATTGTAAGAGAAAGTGAACAGGGTCAAGATTGGTGCTCCAACCACTAATATTGAGGTAAGGTAATATCTGCTCACCACTTTACATACCTACCAAGTACTGTACACAAATGTTTAAACCAGCTAATATTCCCACATCCATGCCGAACTTCCCCCAAAGTCAAATATCTACCCATATGAGCCATCCACCAACTTCCTTCTCCCACACATGACAGACAATAGACAGTCAACTGTAAATTTTTAACTTCATGTGTTCTGAAAAGCAGAGGGGTGCATTCATCTGAACCTCTCTGCTCATACCCCTATTAACATGGTGTTATGCACTGCTAAACTACATTTAATCCAAGCAATGGTACTATACAGTTTGTACTGTACTGTACTGTATAAAAGTGAAAATGCTAACACCATCCACACATACAGTAAGGCCCTGGCGGACATTACACATAAGTCTGACAGCCTTGAGCCCCATGGAGTGCGACTTAGAGGGGCCTTAACTGTACAGTACTATAATTGATATCTGAAAAAAAAAAAATTTCATCATATGTTTAGGCGGATAATAATACTTTCTACTGTTCCACTTGAAACATCATAATCTGATTTTTTTTAGTATACAGTGCAGGTACCTACACAGGATTATGATGTATGGTATATAATGGTCACTTTCTCAAACTGAATTCATAATGACAATGTTATTAAAAACACATAGCTAATGAGATCTAAGAACAGGCTTTAAAAGTTCACTTCTTCAGTTTGACTTACCAGAGGAGAGAAAGTCCTCCCTGCACATAGAATATAGAACTCCACCCCACTTTAGATGCGAGAAGTCCTGAGAAGGGCATACATACTAATGTTCCCAGGGTCATGCCTGCAACATAAACAATGAGTTAAGAAAAGAGTTTTAAGTGTGGAAACTGAAGAACAAGTCTGCATTTTTCATCTTACATAGTGTCTCTTAGTTACACCAGGTTACACCACCTATGGTAGCTGTTACTAATCTAAAACTTCAATCACAGAGCTCAAAGCAGCCATTTTAATCATTATAACTATGATTCAATTTTGACCAAAATTATATCACTCTTTCCTCAGATCTTATCTTAAAGAGTGTGCTAGTACAGTACAGTATATAATTTCAGAGAAACTGTATCATTAGTTTTTCAGGTTACTTTTTGGTGAAATAAAAGGAATACAAATGCACTTCGCATAGATACAGAAAGCAGGGTAGAGAAAATTATGCCAATGTATTTCTGACCCCCAAAAGTATGAATGGTGGAGTACATGATGTAAGACTGATGCAAGCCTATTTGACCACATGTCATTATTGTCCAAGACAATCTAAATGGTTTGATAAAAGAAAAATGAAACCCAAAGAGATTAAAATTTCAGAACATGAATGATAAGAAAGAAAACTTTACATATTAATCCACAACTTGACTTAGGAACATTTTTGTAAGAGTTTAAAACAAAATTTTGTATCTGTGAAGTTTGTAGCATCATATTCTTACCAGCATATACTGTAGCAGCAATCTTACTCCTTTCTTGAGGTGGGGCCCAGGCAGCAACCAGTACATGCATACCTGGCAGTGTCACACCCTGGGAAACAAGAACCACTCAGTACTGTATATTTGGAATGAGGACTGCTGTAGTTATGGTCAATCCGCTACCTATGTGAGAGTGCCCTAATATGCTACTTAATAAAAAAAATCATACATAAGTATAAAAATAAATTATCTCAAATATGATTACAAGAACTGCAGCACTACATCCAAAACAGATCACTTCCATCAACAGTTTACCAGATTTTGACAACTATTAATTTTCAGGTTTGAGTAATTTTCTGTAATTAACTTTTGTGGTAAGTTTCTTATTCCAGTACAGTACTCAACTTTCTCGTCTGTCTTTTTAAAGACTGAGAGAAATTAAATATACAGTATATTTTTTTTAAAGACTTACTTTAATTCTGACAGTAATAAAGTAGAAATATACTGTAGTGAATTTAATACCGGGTATGGATAATTTGGCTACTTAACTTTATGCCTACAAGATCATGCAATATCACTCTAATACTGTACTGTATAGTATTATATTTATGTCATATAAGTGAAAAACATATATACATAATAATAATAATGAGAGCCTCTCGAAATCGAGGATGGCCAGCCCAAGGGCCACCTAGGAGTGAATTTGTTTTAAGGTATAGAAGCTGTCGCCAACACAACAACCACACCCTAAGTTAACGAGCTGCATGACCCAGTGTTAAGGAATAGTCTGAGAAGACCGGACAACTCGCCAACTGCACTGGCTAACCATTACCCCAGAACACAATTCGTAAATCGATTAACATCCAGGTTCACAATTACTGCTGGGTAGACAGAGGCAAATGGCGCAAAGAAACTTGCCCATAGTTTCACCCTGCTCGGGGATCGAACTCGGGTCAGCTCGCTTGTGAAGCGAGGATGCTGACCATTACACCACAGGTCGCCACATACATACAGTATACATACATACTGTACATGCTTTGTTAGTCTATGAAGCCGAGTTTCACACTGTAGTTATCTCTCCCTCTTTCTTATGTGAAACTATTAGATCTAAGAGAAACAACTAGAGACAAAATGAGATAAAAGGGGGGAGAGAGAAGAGAGAGGAAATAAGAAGGAGATAAGTAGAGAAAAAAATAGATACCTGGGTAATGATAATAATAGCTGATCTTTTGTTTTTCAAAAGCACCAGTTCTTTTAAAAAAATCACTGGCATTCGAAACACTACAAACTTAAGAACCTGAGAATAAAATAATAATGTATACTGTGCTACAAAAGAAAAATTGCAAAAAGTTACGAAGAGATGAACAAAGAGAGAAAGAGAGAGAGAGAGAGAGAAAAGTGGTTAGGATAAAATACGAGCAGGACAGGAAGATGTATGCCATATCCAGCAGCCAAACAAAGTGAGAGTGTAGAAGGGTTGAAAAGGGGTTCCAGAGGCAGATTGCAAGTGAGGTAAGTCAAACCCAAAGCATTTTACCACTATGAAAAGTCAAAATTAAAAATGCGAGTAGGAGTATTGGACCAGGGCGTTGAACAGTTTCTTTTCCTCTGTGTTCACAAGAGAGGATGAGAACACACTTCCTGCATTTGAGGAAAGATGGTTCGACACAGAGCTGACCCACATTGTGTTCTCGGAAGAGGTTATAAGAAATAAATTGTCAAAGCTAAAGGTTCATGAGAGTCCCGGCCCTGACATGGTGCATCCCAGAGTGTTAAGAGAGTTGTGCAACGAGCTTGCTGGGCCCCTCAAGATCCTGTTCTGTAAATGCCTGGATGAGCAAAAGATCCCCAATGATTGGAAAATGGCTTATGTGAGTTTTATTTCAAGAAGAGCAATCGACACTCCATGAATAACTATAGACCGGTGAGCCTGATCAGCAAAGTGTGTATAAAGTACTTGAGAGCATTATAAGGGATGCCAGGATGGAGCATCTACTATGAAACAAGTTTGTAAAGGATTGCCAGCACGGTTTTATGCCAGGACGCTCCTGTTTAACACAATTACTCAAGGTACTGGATGTTCGGACTCAAATTCTGGAACAGGGTGGCAATATCGACAATATATACTTTGATTTTGTCAAGGCTTTCGACAGCGTACCCTATGAAAGGCTGAAAATTAAACTGAAAGGGGTAAGGGATTTGGGGAATTGTACTAGCATGGATCGGAGACTTTCTCTATGATCGCAAGCAGTATGTGGTGATTAATGGTACAAAATCGTCAAGTGTACCCGTGACAAGCGGGGCACCACAGGGCAGTGTAATGGGCCCATTGTTGTTTGTTTGCTTCATAAGTAACATGCCAGAAGCAATATACTCCTCCATACAAATGTTTGCGGATGATGCCAAGATATTTAAGGACATTAAGAACCAAGCGGACTGTAAAAAGCTGCAGAAAGATCTCTATGAGCTTCAAGAATGGTCGAAGAAATGGCTGCGAAGATTCAATATCACAAAGTGTAAGAGGAAGCACCTAAGACGTACCAAGGGTAAGGAGGCGTATCATATGTCCCAACGAGAAGAAGAAACTGCATTAATTGAAATTTAATGCGAAAAGGACCTAGGTGTGTATGTTGACAATGAATTGAAGTTCTCGGGCCATTGTGAGAGGAAGGTTAATCAAACAACTAAATTATTTGGTCTTATAAGAAGGTTGCTCAGCTATCTAGACGGTCCGCTCCTCGTAACGATCTTCAAGAGTGAGGTGCTTCCCCATCTGGAGTACTGTCACCCCATCTGGTCCCTGAGATATGCTAGGTACTGTCAGTCGATTGAAAATGTCCAAAGGAGGGCCACCAGACTGATGCCTGCACTTCAGAACCTCAGCTACCCAGAAAGATTAGAGCGCATAAAATTGCCTAGGTTTTACTACAGAAGGGCAAGGGGAGACCTAACTGAGGTGTCTAAATATCTCAAAGGGCACTACTCAGTCGAGTGTCCTTACCTGGAGCTGGCGGACATTCACCCCAAAAGGGGTCACAGCTCAAAGTTGAAGAAGCCACAAGTCCAGAACACTGTGACGGCTAACTTTTTGGGGGTTGTGAACTCTTAGAACAATCTGCCAGAGAGTATTTTGATGGCAACGAGTGTGAGCTCTGTCAAGACCAGACTTCACCAGCACTGGAGTAGGTTCAGATATATTCAGGAGCCAGTGCACACCCAATACTTGCCAACAGTGCACAACAGATACATGATCAACCGCCCAAGTGGCTAACGAGCTGATCAGTGGTGAAGAGGATAAAATTAAAAAAAGTAAAGGGAGTGTGTGTATGTGTATGTAGGCATCTAAATTCCTCAATATAGTATGTAGCAATACTCACTCCAGCAATGCCCATGATGATCCTTATGACAATAAGCGCGGCATAAGAAGTGTTGGCAGCAACGGGTGACAGGAGGGCACATATGGCATTAACCAGTGCTCCTATGCCAAACACATGCTTGGCGCTGAATTTCTCTGCCACCCAACCTCCAGGCACCTGCAACATATGGCTCAATCATTCACTGTAAGCTTTTTAATTTCTCAAACTCTCACAGTCTGTTGTAAAAAACACGTTGAAAATGATTAGAAATCTGAAATGAGGTTACTGGGGAAAAACATACAGTACAGTACATGTACATTGCTGGCCAACCAAACTGGGTCTCAGAAAACAGGTTAAGATTAAATCTTCCTACCTGGCTACATTTCAACATTTTGTACTACCTCAGGGACTCGGGTATTTCTTAATACCTAATATGGTGTTCAGGAATTTGAAATTAAGAGAGAAAATATTTATTGTACAGTAATTCAGTTATACCTACAGTGAGAGAAAGCAGCCTAGGTGTATTGAGTATATGTTGAAGGCATCATATATCTTTAGGTGTAGAGTATATCGTGTTAAGATGTTATGTTTTGAGTATTCATCTAGCAGCTGTAAATCATAATGTTTCGTGTGTACTTGTGCGATAGCAATTCAAAACTGAAGTCATATCTTTTTTATCTATGAACATCAGAGAATCCGATGAGAGTATAGAAATTGCCATTATCGTATTATAGAAAGTAGACAAGCTGCTGAAATGTAAACACAACTATCACTTATCAAAGGAATATAACGAAAAACCTCAGTTATCTACTTCCGAAGCTCCTCCCACATTACACTGCCATTCTTACTACTTGACATCAGTTTAATTCTTGCCTTTGAAAGCTAGTCCATGCTAAGTTTAAAAAGTTAACCTTAGAAAATTAATCTAAGCTCGTACCACAATTTTCACATGCCGATGTGTAGAGTAACGGAGTATGTCGAGATATCTCCGACTCCATTCCGTGTACAGTACTGCGTGTATGCCCAGTCATATTAAGTGATTTGACTTAATTGTTTCGTCTGAATAGGCAAGTGATCCAGTAACGTAACTTTGATGTGTTTTAAGTAGTGCTCATGCGCTATCAGCTTTTAAAACGTTATGACATTCGTGTCAACACTCCAGCCTCTGACTCCATTCCATGTACAGGTGCCAGATAGACCAAGGGTGGTCGGTGTAGGCCAAGACAACATCCACCCTAGTTTCAGGAGATGGATGAAGGCCAGTAAGATCGGATAGCATCGTGAACTCGGGTGTGGTGAGCTAAGTCATATGGTTCCAGCCAGCCCCTCAGAGGAGGTAGCCCGAATGTGTTTGCTGTCCAGCTGGTGATCTCAAGTGAGAAGTAAACACGACCAGTCCATAGCAGTGTTGTTTTTAATGAGTCCATCTCTAAGTAGAGATTACTTAGGGTGTATGTTTTGACCGAGTATTCCCGTACGGAATGTCCTCAGTTGAATGGGTGTCTGGAGTCAAAACAGTATGAGGGTCTCTACTTTATCTTAGCGAATGTAACTGAGTAGCCCAAGGAGGTATTGAGTTGTGGTGACATTACTAAGAGTCCTGTTACTATTCTAGAGCTACTTTCTCATTTTTTCCTGTATTGTTGGTGCTCAAGTGTGCTATATGTGAGAGTATAGTGTTGTGTATTTTTTTAAAGGTACACCAGGTATTGGTGTATGTTGGTAGATGTACTGTACCTAGTTGAAAAGTACCTGAGTGGAGCCATGGAGTTGATCGTGGTAGTTGTGTGTTACTGGAAGAGGCATGTCTAGCATTATTGTAATAAAACATTTTTGTTGTATGTTAGGGGTATTATTCTCCTACATTGTCCACCTTTCCTTTCCATATCTTGGTATCAGTATTACAGTTACCCCGTATCCTAACCCTCGAGCCATGCTACCACAGGTCAGAGATTAGGGAGCAACTATGAGAAGCAAAGTAACTGAGGCATGCTTCCCTGTTGGGCGCTGTAAACGCTTCTGAGCTTCACCCTGCACAAGGATGTAGGGGGGGGGTGCCCAATAAAAAAAAAAAAAAGACCAAACATGGAATAAATCAAGAATTGAGAGAAAGAAGGTTTGAAGAGTTAAGAAGTTAAGACAAAGAAAAGAAGTTGTTTAAAGGAGTGGGACAGAGGAGTCCCCTCTAGTACACGAAGAAATGTAAACAAACCGGGCTCTTATTTTTTTTCTATTGGTTCCCTGAATTTTTAATTGTACATTTGAACAGAGATTAAATTTCACACAAACCAATTATGAAAGGAAGGGGGTTACTTGATGGGTGCTACTGGACAATGAAGTTGACATTCTCTCCTCACTTTACAACCCATATTTTCCTACCTGAGTGATGATGTAGCCGTAGAAGTAAGAAGCCAGGATAAGTCCTTGAACATTCTCATCCCAAGCGAAGGGTCCGTCCTGTGGATGAAAAATACCGTGTTTCAATTATAATTACTTTATGCCGTGTTGGCAGATGACAGGAGTATGTGAATCCTATAATAAAAAAAAAATTGCCAAAACATGAATTATTACAGGCAAGCGACACACAAAAATGCCCAACATTATAAACACAAACGTTGACCACTCACAAAATATTAAAACACTGTAATCAGTTGACCTCGCGTTGATACACAGTGAGGGTTTTAACGACTATTAGCAGGGATTCTATTAGCTGAGAATTACAGGTTTTATGGGATTGGGGTGGTCTGCTTCCGGAGCGTGTTGATGAACAACACTGCGATATTTTATCCTCTTCACCACTGATCGGCTCGTTAGCCACTTGGGCGATCGGTCACGTCTCTGATTACTTTTCCTTTTCTTTTATCCTCTTCACCAAAAGATCGGCTCGTTAGCCGCTTGGGCAATCTGTCACGTCTCTGTTACGCACTGTTGGCAAGTAATGGGCATGCACCGGCTCCTGAATGTACCTGAACCCGCTCCAGTGTTGGTCAAGTCTTGTCTTGAAAGAGCTCACAATCGGTGCCGTCACAACACTTTCTGGTAGATTGTTCCAAGAGTTTACAACCCTCACTCTGAAAAAGTTTGCCCTCACAGTTTTCTGGACTTGCGGCTTCTTCAATCTTGAGCTGTGACCCCTTGTGGGGCGAGCGTCCGCCAGTTCCAAGTAAGGACACTCAACTGAGTAGTGCCCCCTGAGATGCTTATACACCTCAACTAGGTCCCCCCTTGCCCGTCTGTAGTATAAGCTAGGCAAGTTCAGGCGCTCCAATCTCTCAGGGTAGCTGAGGTGCCGAAGTGCAGGCACCAGTTTGGTGGCCCTCCTTTGAACATTTTCAACCAACTGACAGTCCTTAGCATATCTCGGGGACCAGACGGGGTGACAGTACTCCAGATGGGAAAGCACTTCACTCTTGAAGATCGTTACGAGGGACGGACCGTCTAGATATCTGAACGCCCTTTTTATAAGACCCAATAATTTATTTGCCTGATTTACCTTCTTCTCGCAATGGCCAGAGAACTTCAGCTCATTGTCAACATACACACCTAGGTCCTTCTCACATACAGTCTCAACTAGTGCAGTTTTCTCATCCCGTTGGGACATATGATACGCCTCCTTACCGTTGGTACGCCCCAGATGCATCCTCTTACACTTCGTGACATTGAATCTCAGCAGCCATTCCTTCGACCATTCCTGGAGCCCACAGAGGTCCTTCTGCAGCTCTTCACAGTCTGCTTGGTTCTTGATTTCCCGAAATAACTTAGCGTCATCGGCAAACATTTGTATGGAGGAGTGTACTGTACAACGTCAGGCATGTCATTTATGAAACAAACAAACAAGAGCGGGCCCCATACACTGCCCTGTGGTACCCCACTTGTGGCAGGTACGTATGATGGTTTCGTGCCATTAATCACCACACACTGCTTGTGGTCATGTAGAAAGTCTTCTATCCAAGCGAGGACATTTCCCCGAATTCCGCACCCTTCCAGTTTGATTTTCAGCCTTTCGTGGGGTACAGTGTCGAAAGCCTTGGCAAAATCTAGGTAAATATTGTCGATATTACCACCCCGTTCCAGAATATGGGTCCAAATATCCAATACCTTGAGCAATTGTGTTAAGCAGGAGCGCCCCGGCATAAAACCTTGTTGGCAATCCTTTCCAAGGTTGTTTCGTAGTAGATGTTCCATTGCAGCATCTCTGATAATACTCTCAAGTACTTTACATATTATGCTGGTCAGGTTCACCGGTCTATAGTTGTTCATGGAGTGATGATCGCCCTTCTTGAAGACAGGACTCACATAAGACACTTTCCATTCACTGTCGCCAAGAGAGGTTACCATACTGTACTGTTGAAACTTGTGTGGATGTAATGTTTACAGAGGAGTGTGAGGAAAATATTATATCATAGGTCATCTTGTTTATGTTGGTAGTAAATTATCAACAAATGAAGGTAGGTGTTGCCTAACCGAGGGTGAAGTATGAGCTGTTGTAGGAGTTAAAAGATTTCACACATATTTACAGTAATAGAAACAACGCGCCCGTGTGTGTGTGTGTGTGTGACCGCCTATTGATCACGTGATATATGTGTGTGGGGGGTGAGAGACAGAGTGAGTGCGAGCGTGAGTGTGACCTCTGTACGTCCTCTGGGTGTGTTTTCACGTGTAGGGGCGAGCGAGGTAAGGAGTGGGAGGGGGCGAGGGTTGGGTGAGGAGGCTGGGCAGTTGGAAGCAGCTACGGCGGCAGCTAAATATACACCTTTGTCCCTGTCCATGTATGAGCCGTTACCAATACCTCTTCCCTCCCTGACCAGATATCCCTCCTCCTAGTGACAGGCCTGGCACTTAACATTATTAGGGACCTGCCACGCTTTGCCATAAACAGATGAAATGTACCGGAAACTTTCCTCCCACACACTCATCATTCTGTTACTTTATGTAACTTGCTGACAAAACCTATGACCCTTCAGGCTTTTATGCCTTTAATGCATGAGTCATAAAGGCAAGCATGAACTTAGCATGCTTCCCAGATGGGCGCTGTAAACGCTTCTGCGCTTCACCTTGCATAGGACGTAAGGGGGTGCCCAATAAACTAGCCCCCTCGGGGGCAATCTAAAAAAATGTATGAATGATGCATTTTTGTGCTTTTTACTTTACTCACTACCCAGCCGGTGATGAGTATGCCATCCCTGAACATAGCAAGAAATAAACTAAAGTATGATTTAAAAAGGTAGTCATAACATTCAATATATATATATATATATATATATTGACTTACTGGATATAACTTTAAAATATAATTACAGTATCAGGTTACTGGGAAACAGGATATATTGCTAGGAATTTGTCTTATTATGAAAGCCAGCTGCTTACATCATCTGCCGCCAGGTTTACTACTCCTTCCTCATTTGGCTAATGCGATATTATGGCTATTAATCCTTATTCTTATTTTAAAGCAACACAGATCTAAATAATGGATAGTTTGTGTTAATTGGCCATCATTGGTTTACGAATATATGTGTTGTAGGCTCAGTGCCGGATTTAGACCTGTGGAGGCCCATGGGCAGCCTCTTTGTGAAGGCCCCCCCTCATTATAACTACCCAAGAGGGTGGGGTGGCGAGTGAAGCGAGCCTAAATATCTGGGAGTTCCGGGGGGCGCTGTAAGCCCCCCGGGAAAATTTTGAAATTTGAACACTTCTTTGGAGAATTTTGAAGTCACATGCAGTTATACTGAGGAAATTAGAACATTGAGAAATTTTTAATTAAATGTATATTTATTGAGTGTACAAATTCCCAACACACACACACAAAAGTGATAGATAAACATGAATTTAAAAGAATGAAAATAAAAATAATCCAAATGAATAAACAAATAAATAAAATATTGTAATATGTGGAGGCCCCCAGATTGTGGAGGCTCCTGGGCAGCTGCCCACTTTGCCCACTCCTGAATCCGGCCCTGTGTAGGCTTAATGCGCCTTATATATTTTATACCGCTTATTACTATTCTTATGAGTACCAATAAACTAGGATATCAAACTATGATAATTAAAACTATTAGAATTCTTGGTGTTTATGTTGGATTTACATTCGTTATTATACCATGGATTTACAGATCATTGTATTTTTTGTGGTTCGTCCCCCATTTAGGAAAATATTATAAAAAACTATTTACTCCAATATATATTTTCTAAATCTTTATCGTGACTAGACATTTCCCCTTATATTTAGTTTGAGGATAAAATGAACGAAGAGATCTTTGAGAATCGTGATCTAAGCGGCCTCAAATCAACGTTTACTTTCGAGCAAAATTAATGTTGTCTTACGTTCATTCAAATATTGTGTACAGAATACTTAAGATTACTTAAAATTCACAAAACTAATCCAAGTTCTTTAAATGTTTCATACACCTATTTCTTGTACAGTTTTATAACTACTGAACATCATGGTAACCATATCCATCTGGTTGGAAGGAGACTCACGCAGTACAATGTCATATTTACAGAAATGTGTCCTGTTCACCTGAGAATAAAAAAAACATCGTATTTATCAATAATTAGCCTACAAATAACTGGTCACATAGCCTTATGTGGGAGATTTGAATCATAGACCACGTTCTTCGTAGACATCACTCTAACAGCGTCAGCTGGTGACTGGCAACCGGGCGCTGCCAAAGACAAGCTCCCACCTCAACATGGGAAAACATATCGTACGATGGTACAATCTTACACCTTACTACCAACAGCTGAACCACCGATTAAAGTAATAACAACCTCGGGCAGGAACATGAACGAACACACAAGCCAAGTGAAGAGTACCGTAAACAGCATCAGCCTCGGGTGTACAGCACCGCCACAAGCGTGGAAAAAGCTTTGTTTACATGAAAGACGCCACCAGGAAAAAAATATAACAATAGTGTATTATATGCTGCACCGACACAGCACTCACGCAGCTCAAGTCGTGCAAAGGAACAGGACGGAGACTGATTAAAGATGGAGGTTGGCAGGCGAATGTCGTCATATTGCCGACGGCTGGGCAGCCTGCCAACTGCACCCACTGACCATACAAGCTTTGCTTGAGTTTCGTCTTTTCTTTTAACCTCTACTGACTCTTTCAATGACGAGTCTACAAAATTAATAATACATTTTATTAATTATGTTCAATAGACCCATGGACTTCTCACTGGTTGAACCGCTGAGAGAACTTTTCTGCCTTGCGAAACACTGCTGCCAGGCGTACAAAACCATCCGACCTTATAATATATAATGTTGCAATGACCAGTTTTGGGTCATCCATGTTTATTGGATCTTGTTCGTGAAGTTCATTATTGTTATTCTTTATGAGAACATTTGCCCAGATGAGTATTTTCGTGTCCTATGGTTTAGTCTCTAGGAAGCTTGCTAACCTTGAACGCGGTGAGGCAATGCTTGGCTACCAACTTTAACACTGCACCTGATATATAGAAGGTCAATGTTTCCAAGAAAATTTATTATACACAATTTGTTTGTCAAGCATAAAAACTGCCACTAGCTTCTCCAGCACCAGTTCATTAGGCTTCCAATACCACACCTGTACCTGAAGGTCAATTATTGACACAAATGCGTTCGATTCAGGCGTGTAAAAATATATATATATACTGTACACTGTACAGTATATATCCACTTTCAGCAAAAGTCGAATATAATATTTGGCAGCTGTAGACCAACACAGTTTTCGGTATACTTAATACATAAACATTTAAACGTTTTTATTGACGCTGCGCGAATCCTCGACTTCCACCCCACAAACAAAATAGTTACCCTTGAATTCCAGGTGATCCACGCCAGACATCCGCCAACAACAGACAACACTGATGTCCGGCACATTTTAAATTTTATATAAAACTATAAAAATAAAGTAGTCTGTACATCCACTATAACTTGTCAGTGGGTGAACATAGCTGGTAACCAGCCCAGGCTACCCTCGTGGAGCCCCTTGCTGTAATTATCCCATTCAAGGATAACTACAGGTAAGTGCTACTTTACCTTTCTTGGGCTCTTACCATTTTTGAAAGTCTGTTACAACGTGTAGGAGTAACACAGCTCGTGTAATATAGCATTATAATATAGCACCAAGACCATGAACTTGAAAACCTAGGTCATCTCTAAGAGTACTGACTTAGACAATAGTGGCTGTGGTTCATTCACTAATGAGTCACACCTTCCCGTCCTAACAAGTGCCGCCATTTACAGCGGGAAGCAACGACTCGTGACGTCACATGGGCATGTATATTGAACTGTACATACAGTATAATGCCTGGCCTGCCAACTCATATTGCAGCCGCTGTCACAAAGTGGGAAAGTATCGTAACCCACCATAACCCCGACCAACCATAACCTAACCTAACCCCTAAACAATATGTACTCACATTGAGGTTTTCTTTCTTCTCCTCCACACCGCAGGCGTTGAGGGTGTTGTTGGGACTGTCACCGGAGGAGTTGGTGAGTAAGGTCAGGTCGTGGTGGTCGTCCTCCCCGTGGCCGTCGTCATGGTGCTCCCCCATATTCGCTACCGCTGTATGGTTCACCTGAGGAGACACATACAGGTGACAGCTAGTAAGTAAAAATAAATAAGGTTATCATAGTACTGTATGTCTAGGTGATGTAGTAGTAGTAGAGAAGTAGTAATAGTATTGATAGTAATAGAAGTAGTAGTAGTGAGAGTAACAGTGGTACAACACAATAGTAGTGGCGTGTACACCTGAGACGCTCCAGAAGTATCTCTACGGAGGTGTTCAATTAATTAAAAACAAAAAGTGAACACCGCGACTTCTGTTGTCTCGGTGTGGTTGTCAAATTCTTTCTTCTTCGTCCGTTGCGTCATGTTGTCTCATACAAAATCGTGAAGATATTTCTTTTGAAGTGAGTGTACTGTATGTATGGGATAAACACAGTGTGAAGCTCTTTTCTCCCGGTGATGATATACTGTACTAGTTTACACCATAACACACACTCAGACAAACAATAGCCTTCATATCTATTATACTCTACAGTACAGTACCTAAATCTCACTCCTCACTCACCTTGTCTCGTGTACATACAAAACTATCTCTCCCCTTTTTCGTTGACACAATATGACACAATGGACGAAGAAATGCTGAGAGTAGAGTGGTATTTGGAGCATGGGTGTGAGAGGGTGAGGAGGAGGAGTGTGAGGGTGGGGGAGGAGACGTATTGCAGAAAAGACGTTTCAGACAAGAACCACTCACCATTGCAATGATGGCCACACTCAGGTTCACCTTGAGGCCGTAGACGATCATGAACCCGATACACCCCATCACCGCCATCACCCACCGAGACGGGATCACATCTGCCGGAACAATAAACCGACTTAAAACACTTTACTTAAGCTTCTGGTATACTTGGAGAGGTTAGAATGATAAGGACACATGCTAAAACTGAGTTGATCTCACCACACTGGGCCAAACAGGAGATGAGTCACGTGGTGTGGTTTTTGTCTCAGGTAAATAAAAAAAAAATCCCGGTAAATTCGAGCAACTTAACCAGGAATTAGGTCAGATCAGGTCAGGTATTGTCAAAAAGAGGTCATATGGTACACAGGGTCATAACGCTAGTGAGGTAACGCCAGGGAGGTCATAACGCTAGTGAGGTAACGCCAGGGAGGTCATAACGCTAGTGAGGTAATGCCAGGGAGGTCATAACGCTAGTGAGGTAATGCCAGGGAGGTCATAACGCTAGTGAGGTAACGCCAGGAGGCCATAACGCTAGTGAGGTAACGCCAGGAGGCCATAACGCCAGTGAGGTAACGTGAGGGATGTTGTAGTGCTTGTGAACTGGTGACGCCCTTGACGTAATATCCTGCTGAAAAAACTTCATAAGTGATAAGAGGGAAATGATAACGAAGCAGAGAGAGAGAGAGAGAGATAAACAGCGAGATGCAGTTGTGTGTGTGTGTGTGTAATAGATAGATAGATCGAGAGTGAGCGCCATGACCCGGCACGTACGCCCCCTACCTCACCACTAACAGTTATCGACCACCGGCGGCCCTTATTGGCTTAAATACACAAACATCCGGCGCTAGTCTTTTGTTTCCTGGATAAATTATCAAATATTAACAATGCAGTTGATCACACACATACACACACAGTCAACAGGCAATGTGTCCATGGTCACTGGGTCTAGTGCTGGGCCCCGCGGGGCCCCCCACACGCGCGGGGCCCCGGGCGGTCGCCCCTGTTCGCCCCCCCTAAAGGACGGTCCTGCCTGTGAGGGAACTACTACTCCACGTGATGCCCCTCATAACGCCATCTGTGAGGGAGTTACTACACTACGTGTCTGCTGTTCAATACCTCAGCGCACAAGATCTACGTGACCGCCGACTGTAAACATTAATCTATATGTTCACTGTATGTTTCTTTACCTTTCTCTAATGAAGGCTTTTGTTAAACCACCAATGTCAATGTATGTAATAAGTCATTTATATCCAATGTATATTTTCAGCCTTCGGGCTGCAGAACTTTTTCAATAAACCGTTAATTATTATTATTATTATTATTATTACACACACACACACACACTTACTATAACGTGAACGGCGAATCAAAATAAATCTGGCGATATGTTGACTAAATCCGGACGAACTGTGGTCATGCTAAGTCCTCCATCAAGATCTGTGTACACTTCAAGTAGCCACAGCCAAACAGGTAACAGTAAGTAGCAGGAGTAGACGACTAAACTATCGTCAGTATCACGGTCACTGCCACCACACAAACACCTCTCAGTCAACCAGGTGTTCGCTGGACGTGATGTTTGTCAGGTGACGTTCACAAACATTCACCTTATCAAGCCCAGGTGTGTGCTATGCCTGCAGTGTATCGTTTTGCTGTTTTGAAGTGTTAGTTTAGTGTGGGGGGTCTTACACACGCACACGCACACACACACACACACACACATATGTATGAAGAAAATGTTTGCAGGCTCCGAATGCTATAAAAAATTATTAATTATGAGGAAAACTGTGTTTATTCTCGAGGCCAAGAACAACAAAAACTAAAGTACAAAGGAATAAAACATGAAACAAAAAAAATTGTTGAGTGCTAAGAGGAAACAAGACTGAGTATGACAGACAGACCGGGCAGCAGTCAGTAGAAAAGTTCTCGAGAGTCTGACGATTCCTGGAGGTCAAAGGCTACGTGTCCTGCGGGCTGTCGCTTGGAGGGGGTCCAAAGGCACCGGCTACGGCACACGAGAGACATATGAGTCTAGGGGATTTACCGAGACTGTGGCACTGACGTGACACTAGCAGTGTTTCAGCAGAGGTCTTCAGTTCTCACCCACGGGTTGGACGTGACATCTCTGTGCAATTCAATGTAGTTTATTAACAAATGAGTGGAGGATCACCCACCAATCACAATTTTTTTTACATGATTACACGGGTATGTGTCATGTGTTGTGAACAGTGTCGGGCTCATGGGGGAGGGGTACCATGGTACAATAGCGCCTTGTCATAAAGATTGAGACACCAAGCAATGGCGCCCTAACACTCAATGATTGTACAATGCATCTCTGCTGGTGGCAGCAGCAGCCTCTCAACTTCTTGGTACAGGAATGACCCACAAAAATGTAATAAAACGTTCAGTTTCAAGAAGACAATGAAAACCAGCCCTAAGATGTGTGTGTGTGTGTGTGTGTTGCGTCACTATCAACACCCGGATACACAGCTCCAAGATCAACTTATCAACTTATAATATTCTAGGTGTTAATCTAAACAGACTTGTTAAGACATACTTTACCTGTACCACACACACACACACATGCGTCACAAGCGCTTGTATAAATAGACAGAATATGACACTCTCTTCACTACACACACATTTCTTGAATCAAAACTTTTTCTTTGTTTGTTTTTATCTACTTGTTGAAGGTACTGTAGAAACAGTCTTGGTGGCGGCGTCATTTCCTAGTGGTAACAAATCCTGCCAACACTTACATCCTGCAGTAAGTTCGTGCTTTAAAGAGAAAACACTAAGTACCGATGAAAGCCGTACACTACCTGGAATAGTTACAGACCAGGAAAGGAGGCGGAGTAGCAATCTATATTAGGGATAATCTGAAGTGTGAAATAAATAAGGAAATAAAAACTGAGAGGAATACAGAAACAATTTGGATAGAATTAAGCGACGGTCGGGAAAAATTAATCACAGGAGTAATATATAGACCCCCAATCTTGATAGCGTCAATGAGCGACTTATCTGGGATGAAATGCGCAGGGCTTCCATACACAACAAAGTCTGTATAGTAGGCGACTTTAACCTTGGCCAAATAGATTGGACTGTCCTTACGGGTAACTCAGAATCAGAGGATTTTCTCGAGACGATCCAGGACTGTTTCCTAAGTCAACATATAACCGAACCCACACAGGGTAATAATATATTGGATTTAGTTCTGTCGAACAGAGAAAACCTCATTAGCAATGTCGAGGTAGGGAACGAACTTGCAAACAGCGATCACAAAGAAATTCGATTCCAGTTAGATTTTCAGGGCAGACGTAAGGAAAATTCCACTAAAGTACCAGATTTCAGAAGGGCAAACTTTGACAGTTTAAAGAGGCAGCTGAGAGAGGGGGTGTCGCGCTTGGCCGTGAACCTGACAGATGACACCGACCTGATAACGAGATCTGAGATTGCTGAGTTCCACGATAATTTAAATAGTGAGTTACTTAATGCACAAAGGCAGAACATACCATACAAAAAACTCAGATCAGACAACAATGACCCTAAATGGATAAATAATTATTTAAAGAACATCATTGGCCAAAGGAAGGCTATAGGTAGAAGGATAAATCGTGGCGAAATTCACCTCCGGGACTATTATAGGGTATTGGCGAGTAGAGTTAAAACCGAGATAAGGAAAGCAAAGAGGAATAATGAGGTAAGGATAGCAAGGGAGGCGAAGACAAACCCCAAAGGATTCTACCAAATGTATCAAACTAAAACACGAGAAAAGATTGGACCAATACGGTCAGACTCCGGCGAGCTCACTGATAACGACGGAGAAATGAGCAATAATTTAAATAAATATTTTTCAACAGTTTTCACCACCGAAAATTTAAACATGATACCTGAGGCACCGACTCTATTCAGAGATAGTGAAGAAAACAAATTGCTGTAGAGAAAAGCACTAGGGCCCACGCTAGAAGCAAATAGACAAACCAGCTCAATAAGTCACTTAAACTCTGATGAGAGGTCGCTAAGGTCAGCGGAATGTAAGGAAGAGCCGAAAATGCCCCAGCAAAGTTGTTTAACATGTCCCTTAAAAACAGGTAGTACCAGAACCTGGAGGATAGCGAATGTAATACCCGATTTTCAAGAAGGGGAGGATCATCATCCTCTAACTACTGTCCAATCAGTCTAACATCAATAGTAGGCAAATTACCGAAGCAATCATTTCCAAACTCTTATCTGGAAATCACCTGGAGAAGCCAATTGATTGATCAATGATTCCCTGCATGGCTTCGCTGCTTTATCGCCCCTGCCTAATCTGAATCTATTAACATTCTTTTCTACCGAAGTTTTCGAAATCAGTGGACGAGGGCACAATTATGATGGTATATCCCGACTCAGCAAAGCCTCTGACAGAGTCCCCACGCAAAGACTAATTAGAAAGGCAGTAGAAGCCGCGGCAATCAAAGGTGATATCCTTAAATGATTAGGCGTGGTTACAGGACAGGAGAAACAGCGAGTGAGCATTAACGGCACTAAGTCCTGTATTGGAGCAACGTCAGCGGCGGAGTTCCCTAAGGTTCAGTACTGGACCATTATTGTTTATTATATACATAAACGACATAGATATCGGCACAGACAGCAACATAAGTAAATTTGCTGATGACACTAAAATAGGACGTTATCAACCCGACGAGGACTCAAAAACCACAGGAAGATTCCAACAAATTTTTTCCAATGGTCTGAAAAAATGGCAGATGAAATTCAACGTGGACAAATGTAAAGTACTCAGTATAGGAGATGTAAACAGGGAAACCAGATACCAGATGAACAACGATGCCATAGAAAAATCCGACTGCGAGAGAGATTTAGGAGTAATGATAAGTAGGAACCTTAAGCCAAGTAAACAATGTGTTTTGCTCGTAACAAGGCTAATAAAGTACTTGGGTTCATACAAAGGAGTGTTGGTTACAAGACTAGCGAGGTCATCCTAAAACTGTATCTTGCTCTTGTGAGACCACACCTGGATTATGCAGTTCAGTTCTGGTCACCGTATTACAGAATGGATATAGAATCCTTGGAAAGAATTCAGAGGAGAATGACAAGACTAATCCCGGGCATTAGGAAC